AGGGACGCTGCATGCTTTCCAGTGTAGCTGCTTCAGTAACTCCTAAATAGCTAATTTGTATTAGCATGAGAGATTATTCCATTAACAAGGTTTAAATTAATCTATTGCAAAAGTACTGCCTCAGAGAGTTGCCAACAATTTGACCAGCAACACATTCATTTTTTCCTCTCTCAACTCTCTGTTTACTTTCCAGCTACACCACACTCACTCAGCACTAATTATCTTCATTTACTTCTATTATTCCGTATTGTATTTTTTTCTGGGACTTCGTTTATCTTCATAAATTCTGGCCTTTCAAAGCTGTACATCCTCTTTGCCTACATGCTAGCTCCTCTCCTATTCATTCACTTAACTGAGCACAAGATCATTTATATTGAATGCATCTTTCCTAATGATCTTTTACTATGCATTTATTTCTCTTCTACCTCAACTAATTGAGTGATACATGGTTCTCAATTTGGCATCAGCCAGCAATTGATCACAGCTCTCTGCTCAAACATATATAGCAATTACTACTACAAACTCCCTATTTCAGAGATTTATATGGTGGTGACATGACTGGATTCCACTCCTGCCATGAGATTTCACAACAGCATCACATGTAATAAGTTAAATTTTTTCCAATATAAATTATATCTTATGGCATTATGGATGAAAACCACAGTATAAAATTGCACAAGCTGACACTGCAAAAATATGCTTTGGAATTCAAGGTCTTAAATAGCACTGTTCTTGGCAAAAATTGTGGAATTTTCTTTAAGCCTGGTTTTTGTTAAATTTACTGATTGATGTCTGAACACAAAAAGATAACATTATCCCCCAAAGTAGGTGGTAATTCCTTAAGTGAGGAATAATACTAATTACAGTAAAGAATTACTGACAAATGCTATTTTGATCATTCAAATTTGTAAGAGACTAACATCACATGTTTCAAGGGCTGTTTAAATTTTAGACCAATATTTTCTTTTCTTACTCAGACTAAATTACAGCATGATGTATTCTGTTAACAATAGAAAGTTCAAGGCTAGCATTAAGTTGATTCATCAATCAGTATGAATATGGTATATTTTCTTCTGTTGAAATTCTGTCAGGTCAAGAAAATAATTAGTATTTAACTGTATCATTTGTTTTCCATATATAAAAGGCAGGAGAAACATTCATAACTCTACTTTCATTTGGGTAACAACAGAAATTTCTCTACAGCTATTCATTTCTTCATTTGTTGAATTCTGCTCATGTCTGAATATGAAATTCTATACTGTCTCTTTGAGCACAGCACTTGAGATCAGTCTCTTATATAATTATATGGCCTTGAACAAAGACATTAATGTTTTTTCTTTCCTCTTTCATCTGTAGAATGTGGCTATTCATACTTAAGTGCCTCTTGAATTAATTGTAGTTATTAATAGTTGTATTGATTAATAGTTAATGAATTCAAATTATTTTTATGGACAAAAATATTCTCAACCATGCAGAGAAGAGACTGGAATTTCGATAATATTGAAAAATGTGAATTGAAAATATACTAATCTTCCAAACTGCAACAAACCCAAAGAATTTTGAAATTGTCTGAAAACCACAGAATTCACATTCAATTTTGTTTCAAGAAAATATTTTCGGTTATATCTTATAATGGAATAATGAAGCAAATTGCAAAACAAAAAGTTACTTCAAAATAGGAAAAAATATCCAATACCAGAATTTTTTCAATTGAGTATCTGCTTGCCAAAAATATTGATCAACTCTAGTTTCATCTATTACAATTAGTGGATCATTTTAAAGATGACAAAAATGGTTTCACTATTAATCTAGAGATAAGTAATGGGACAGTCCCAAAACTGCCCAGAGCAAAAAAAAATCTCAATACCCTATTATACATTTTTTTACTTATTCAGTGCTGCAGTTCCTGTGTCCCTTGCAAATCAATTAGTCTCCATCACAGTAATTACAACATTCTGAAGTACAAATTGACTTGTCAAGTTAGTTCCTCCATGACATTCTCAGAGTCTTCAGTGTCTTTTTTAAACAGAAAATGACAGCAGCCAGCAAAATAAGCAAGCTTCTACCTGTTCCAATCCCCCTTCATTATAGGGACTGCAACAAAACCAGGATTCTATTTCTTCCTGTTTGAAATCATATATGGAAAACATCAGATTGGGGAAAACAACATTCATATTCTTCATCTCATCTCAGCACACTGTTGACACTGGGCATCATTTCAACTCTGGCCATTTTTTAAGAATACTCTCACTTGGACTTCCAAAAAAAAAAAAAAATCCTGCAGCAGCCATGGCCAGCTCCTGACTCCATTGCCACGGCTCCAAGGGAATTCCCTCCAGCAGAATTAAAGTGACACAGAGATAAGAGTTCAGTTTGGTTGTTTGCACACTGAGCAGGGCAGCCTTGCACCTGACTTAATCCAGCTGTGAAGTCATATGGTGTATAATCCAGGGCAAGAGAGAGGTAAATTTGAGCCAGCAAGAAAGGAAGGGAGATGACCCACAAGGGAATGCTCTACACAACAGAAAAGAAAGATAAAAGGCAAAGATTTTCTGCTTTCAAGAGTCCTTGAATGTGGCTTTTATTTTTTTTTTTTCTTCTTCACTAAAAGGTTATCTTTCTCTCCACAGGCAGTTCTTGAAACAGTGATCAGCAGATACTGTCCCAAACCCCCTCCTGATGTGCTGTGTTATTCTGCTGGCATTGCTGGCAAAACCCCTCAGGTGCCACAAGCCAGCCCATGAGCCCTCAGAAGAAGCATGGCAATTTTCACCAGTGGAAACTCTGCTCTAATGATCCTATAGCAATTTATACCAGCCAAATGTCAGAAGCCACTATGGGAAATGCAGATGAACGGTCTTGAAAGGACAGCATCAAGAAAAATCTTGATTTTTTTTTTTCCTCCTTGAGCATAATTGTAAAACTAACACTGTTACACTGATTAAGGAGACTGTTGAAGAACCAGGGGAAAACTGAACTACCAATCGGCTTCTCATTGCTACAAGGCAACACTGAGATGGAGAACCTGCAGAAATACAAACCCACACAAGAATTTCTCTGCAGAATTGCTATCATGAGTCCAAAATCATCTGTGCTCAGTTCAAGGGCTGTCACAGCCCCTGGTACAGACATTTTCCTCAGGGATGTTCTGTAGGTCACATCCCCAGTCTGAAGTCAAAAAGTGTTCCTTCTGCAAAATCTTCACCAGGCTGCTTCTATCTGCCCTGGGTGAGAAAAGCTTCCTTCCTGGTTTGTTGTTTTTTTTGTTGGGTTGGTTTTTTGTCTCTTGCTTTATTTTTTACTTTTATTTATTCTTTTTTCTCTTTCTGTCTAAATGTCAGAACCTGACATATGGCCACTCCTCCCATCGCTCTATCAGTGTCACAGCAAAGTAATTTGTGAAAGCCCTGCAGAATAATCTACAGCCTGGGTCTTTCATATGGCAAACAAATACTTAAGAGGTCTCACAAGGCTTTTTTTGCTTGATCTAATTTGTGTTATTTCAGTCTGCAGCTTGATATAAAATGAAAACATCTCTAGGGAATTAAATATCAAATAACATCATATTTTTTCCACTGCATTTAACAGTTTGCCTACCTGTCCTCAAGTTATTGAGAAAACCTCTTGAAATTTTATAAAAAACAGTGTAATTTTTAAAAAGAATTGGGGTTTGGTTTTGCCCATATTTCACTTGGCATAGTTTTCTTTTGATAGATAGGCTGTCCTTTGTAAATGGACATATTTTAAAGGAAGTAATAAAATTTAAATTTTACAGGCTAAAATTTAAATATCAAGCCCTGATGAGGTAGGAATGTAAATTCCTCTCCTTCTCTGGAAATATTCAAACCCACCTGGATGTGATCCTGTGCAACCTGCCCTGGGTGAATCTGCTTTAGCAGCTGGATTGGACTAGGTGATCTCCAGAGATCCCTTCCAAGCCCAGCCACCCTGTGATTCTGTGATTCTGCATCTTACAGCTTCAGCATGTGTCACAGATAAACTCAGAGACATAGCTAGTTGATGATTTTATAACATGTAACCAGAAAGCAGACTTCTGGAATCCTCTTTAAGATTTTATTAAAAATTCATTAACTCTCTGAACTATTTATGCAGGGAACTCTTATGTATTTACCTTAGGAATATTTTCTTGGCAGACTGATCTAAAAAAACAAGCAGTTAAAAAATACCAGTTTTCTGGATTTAAGTGTCTAAATGTTAGTTATTTTGCTAGATTGTGATCTACTCCCACAGAAATTAAGAACTAAGGAAGAGTCTAGATTTCCAGATACCTCCCCACTCTTTCATTTAATTATGAAATCACCAAACAAGCACCTTCAATTGCTTCACCTTCCTCTAAAAGTGCTGTTGCCAAACAATGCTGCACACATCACCACGCATCCATACAGCACTTTCTGGTGCTCTAAGAAGATTCAGTGAGTCACTGCCTGCCTCTCTGTCACCTGCCATAGTGTACTAGAAGCAGCTGAGAAATGTGTATTTTACTTCCCAGGTGTTCCTGTGCAGAACTGGCAATAGCAGAACTGTCCTGATGGGTCATCAGTGAAAACAAGCACGGCCCGCCCCAGCAAACTGTCCTGACACACAGCTCAAACTACTCCTGCTAATTCAGATGGAGCAGCTTTCCTCACAGCTGTACAAATGATATCTTATGGCATTATGGACAAAAACCACAGTATAAAATTGTGGACAGCAGCACCTGTACAAAGGTGCTGCTGTCTGCCTCTACCTGTCCTCCTGAACCCTGAGGGTGCAGAAAGAAGGAAAATAAACATGGATTTTTAACACCAAAAACTACAGCAGAAGTTAAAGAATGGGCCTTCTGGCTAGGATTCATAAGCAAACTTCTGTGCAGGATGTGGGTGGCTACCAGACACATATGTACAGTAATTCAATAAATTTAAAAACATCCATTTCTTCTGTCCTGCACCTCCCCCCAACCATCAAGTAATAATAAATGGAAGTGGAAGTGGTGTACTGACCTCATCAACATTCTCAAATGCATTGATGACATCATAAGGCAGGCAGGAGAGCAGGTCAATCACAAACCAGGTCTTCAGGTAATTCATGCGGATCAGCTTGGGGTCAGAGATCACCTCCCCTGCCGGCCCCACAAAGGTGGTGTGGAAATTGAGCACAATGTCAACCAGAAAAATGACATCTACAATGCTGTCCACTACTAGCCACGCCACGTTGTTCTGCTTGGTTTTAAAGGAGACATTGTAAGGGACCAAAATAGCAGTGTAGAAGGTTAAAATCAGGATGATCCAGTCCCAGGTAGTCTTGAATACACAATAATGCAAAATTATATGCGGTGGAGTCTTTGGTGCCTCTTGTTTGTACTGTGGGAGGATTTCAGAACCCAGCTGCAATACCTGTAGCCAAGAGAGATTTGAGAGGAAAAAGAAAACATGCTTAATTTTTCACACTAGATTCTCAAGCTCAGTACAATAGTTCATAAAAATTCATGTCCATTAACTCCTTTTATCACCATCAAATGGTAAGCAAGCCAAGAAAAGTATTTTGTTACACAAATCAGCATCAAACTAAGAGCAGTTGCCTCTTTTAATGCCATTAATTATTTTTTGACACTAAGTCTAACGTGTGGAGTGTCCAAGACAAACAGAGAAGAGAGAACCCCTTCAGCTATCTAGACAGCCGAGACAGAAAAATGATGGGCAAGAATAGGCAGGAAGGCCAGGGCAAATAGAAATTGATGGCAAAACCACAACTGAGAACCACCAAACTGGAACAACTGAGCTCCTGTCCAGCAGCAGAACCACTGGACCACATTTTTTTCAACACTGGTTATTTAACTCTTCACTACACCCTGTCTGAAATAGTCTCATACTACAATCTATCATCAGTGCACAGCCCTCTCTTCCTCTTCTCTGGGCTGTACAGGTCCAAAGCCCACAGATGTAGCTGCAGTTCTCTTCATAGAGAGCAGGCAGGCACAACTCCCCAAGGATACTTCCTGAGAATTGCAGCGAGGAACCTCAGAGAAAGAGAAAACAATTCTTATCTCTATTCTCTGCCCCTGTTGTTTTTGGACATGTGGAATGTGTTAAGAAGATTGTTTACCTAAAGAGATTTAGTAATTAAATTCTAGGAATAGTTGTTTATATTAATTAACCAATCACTCAAAGCTGTGTCTTGGCTGTCTAGAGACAGCCACAAGTTTTTTTTAGTATGTATCTTTTGTATAGTACAGTATAGTATAGTATCTCTATAATATAATACAATACAATATAATACAATATAATACAATATAATATAATATAATATAATATAATATAATATAATATAATTTTAATAAAGCAATTATTCAACCTTCTGAATCAATAGAGTCAAATACCAATCATTCCCTGCATCAGGGGCACACTACTTTTCGATACACAGATATCTATCATTAGCCTTAATAAAGTCATTTTGGACTTCACCTTTTCATTCAGAGAAGTTCAGTATCTTAACTACCTGATGGTGTGGAATCATAGAAAGATAGAGTCATTAAGGTTGGAAGAGACCCCCCCTAAGATTGTTGAGTCCAACAATTAACCCAGTACCATAGTGTTCTCTAACAAACAAGTTGGAGAACTTCTCCCAAGTGCCACATTCCACACACCTTTTGAACACTTCTAGGTACAGTAATGCCACCATTCCCTGGGAAATCTGTTCCAATGCTTGACAACCCTTTCAATGAAGAAATTTTTCCTAATATCTAATCTAAATCTCCTTTTGTGCAACATGAGGCCATTTCCCCTGGATCTGTCATTTGTCACCTGGAGGAAAAGACAGATCTCCCCCTCACTACAACCTCCCTTCAGGCACTTGTAGAGAGGGGCTGGTCCCCCCGAGCCTCTTTTTCTCCTGGCTAAACAATCCCAGCTCCTCCTCATCAGACCTGTTCTCTGCACCCTTCACTGCCTTCTTTGCCCTCCCTCAGACACGCTCCAAGGCCTCAGTGTCCCTCTGGCTGTGGGGCCTCCAGACCGAGTGCAGGATTTAGGGGACCTGCCAAGGCACACTGCTGAGTTACACTGCAGCTAGGTCTGAATTCAGAAAAGCACTTCTGCAGAAGATGATCTGCCAGCGTGTGTTTTAAACCCTGCACCTCAAGCTGAGCACATGCTGACACCGAGCACTGCTTTGCGTAACTGCACTCTCAATCAGTGCTGCCCATTTTATGTCTGCTCTCTCTCCAGTTCTGCCCACTGCTGCAAAAACAATATTATCATGTATGTAATTCTTGGGAACTCAAGCTTCTTTCACATACCTATGAATAAAAATGTGTTTGTTTATATGTACCTGTATTCACCTGCTATACATGAGGGTGAAACCAACATCAAGAACCTGTGTCCAAATAAAGAGAAGTTAAATTTTAAAGCAATTTTTACCCTGGATGAATTATGAATGAAAATTGAAAGAAACATGAAGGCTTGCTTGATTGAAATGTGTTTGGTAATGCCAAACTCACAGAACCTGTGAGAAGTATTTAGGAGCATGGTTCCTTTTTCACATTTACACATAGTTCAGAGCAATAGGAAGCAGGAAAGGAAATTAAATGTCTGTTTTTCTCTGGGAAAAGATAAGACAACACAGCTAGAATAGAAGGATGTCTTCCTTTCATTCTCCTTATCTCAGCTTTTTTAATGTCAGTTATTTAGACGTGGATTTTATCTCCAGGCTTTTCTGAGTGCCTTTTTTTTCCTTTTTTTTTTTTTTTTTTTTGGTGAGCTGGTGAGATTTTTTCCAACAGTTTCAGCCAAAGGGGACAAAAGAAAACGATCAGCTAAACAAGCTCTACTTGGACAAAACAGTCTCAGATGAAATTCCCTGCTGCTTTGAACCTCACATAAACACTTAACTCGTGTACACAACAGGGGTCAGACACTGTCAGAGCACAGCTCCTCACACATGTGTAAATGAGAATGGGAACTGCAAGCCTGCTGACCTTGAGCCCAGTACGTTCTCCTTAAGGGAATTAACATGACCTGCCCTGACAGACCTGCATGTTACCACAGAGGCATAAAGAGTTTGGAAAAAAAAAAACAATTAAAAAAAAAAAATAAGAGGACTGTATTTTTGTTAGTGAGTGTCCAGAATGACAGCAAAAAGGAGAAAGGAACATTTTTCCAGCAGACCCAACTAGGACTCAGACATGTTCACTGCAGTATTACACAGTCTGCTGATGCTGACCCTCATTGATGCATGTTCTCCATACTACCAAAAATAAAAGGGAATTAAGCTGTCCTGTGCTGAGAGGAGCTGGAAGCAGCACAAGGCACATGCAGTCTCTCTGCCCTGCAGGAGCCACTGGCCAGCCCATGCAGTCCCCAAAAGCCCCTGGTGTGATGGAAGAGGCAGAGGTTGTGTACTGAGTCCATGTGTGTACTCAGAGCATCATTCCCTTCAGGGCTTTTTGGCAGTCCCAGTGACAGATTTTGGGATGTCTTTTCCCAACAAAAGCTCTAGTCCAAATCAATATTGCAAATATCTCCTGCCCTCCCTTTTGCACATTAGAGCTGTACTTGAATCATTTGGAGAGCAATGAGTTACTACTGGTTTTCATGAGGTTTACTACATGAGCAGCAGCTCTAACACAGGATCCTGAGCCTGAAATATGTTTCACTGGGCAAGGAGAGTCCTCTGCAACCCTCACTCACTGGAATAACTGATCAGCAAAACAAAGCACCTCCATCACACAGTATTTCATTTAGAATGATTTCAGTTCTAGTTCTGAGATTTTATTGGTGTGGGGAGACAGCATCACCCTTCAAATGCAGCAGGAAAGCATAATTGCTTCTTCTGCAATCACAGGCCTACTACAGCTTTATTTTTTAGCCCCTGGTATTACATGAGTAAGTCCAGTATTTTGGTAACTGTTCTAATCAGCATAGGAACCTCAACCATGAAAAACTGAAAAAAAAATCGTTTGCTTTTGTCAGGTGGTTCTTATCTATACATACATAAGTTATAGATTGAGAATTGCATAATGCACTCAGTTTTGGTCACTGCTGCTCTCTTTGTACACCAAGAATTTGTGAAATTTTTGCATCAAAAGAACTAAATTTCCTGAAAAAAATACTAATGTATACCTGCATACCCAATTAGGGGAAAAGGCAAGAACAATCTCCATTTGGCAAAAAAGAAGGGGCTAAGTTGTGGTGTTCATTGTTTTGCTGTAAATCGAAAAAAAGCCATTAAAATAAAGCCAGTGGAATTGTAAGGATGTAAAACTGAACTGAAAGCAGAAAAAACAGACTTCTAGTTTCCAACTTGTAAAGACAATAAACTGCTGCTTCAGTGTTTTAAAATGGCATCACCAAATACAAAGCACTTTCTGCTTACTTGTTTGAGATTCAAGGGCTACAGCACAGGAAAATAAAAGGATTGATGACTGATCGATCTCCTTCCCTTCCTATTTAGAAAGTAAACATACTCTAAACTATCTATCTGAATAGCTAGTGACCTTATAAATAAGTCTTTTGAACTTCTGCTACCCTCCTGGAGTCTCTGGAGAAGCCTCAGCAATGGTTATTTAAAGAGACCAGTGGCTTTAGTTGGTCTCCAGCAGAAGTATTGTGGGCATGAATCCTGAATGGAGGGGCAGGAGACAGGCACCAAGGAATGACACAGGGATTCCAACCACTCACCATATGGGGAAAGCCACCTGCAGAAAGCCAGAGGTGCCTCCAGTCCTCTTTTTGGGTGGGATGGAGGTGACAAGTTCTAGCCTAGGCTCCCTCTCACTACATCACTAACACACACCTTTGTAAAACCAGCCCATCTTGCTGGCACTGCTGGAGATGATTTCGCAGCCTGAGGTGAAAGAAGGCACTGCCCCAGCTCACACTCTCTCTCCCAGCAAAGGCAAAAGTCTCACGGTGCCTGGCAGTGCCAGCCAGGAGCTCTCAAAAGCACCAAATTCTTCATTTCACTGAGAAGGGAAGCATGCCTACAACAAAGCTCCATCTCAGAGAACAAGCATGTGCCTTTATCATAAAGCACAACAAAAGAGCTCAGTACTGCACAGAAACCATGGAAGGAGGTCCACAGAGCTTAGTGCTAAAGACCAAGGTTTTGTTAGATCACTGCACTGGAAGCTGCAAGAGCTCCATGCTCCACTTCTCACACCAAGGGTCACACCAAGTCTATTTCCTCACCATCCTTCTCCACACACACCACTCCTGGGTCATCTGGAGATTCAGAGCCATAAACCCCACTCTCTCTGCACCATCCATGCAAACTCAGGTCAATGCAAAGCTCCTTCTGCTCTATTCCAAGGTGCTCCTGCTGCACTTCAGCCCCTAGGGAGAGCAGGGCCAACCTGAGACAGGTTTGCTGAAGTACTCAGCTGTGGTTACACACCCACACAAACTAACCACATTCAAACTGCTTCTAAAGCTACTTCTCCTGGAGAGGGAAAAAACCAAACCCCAAGAGACTGACAGCAAAGTAATCAAGAAGAAAATGCACACAACTATATAAACCAATATGCTGAGCTTCCTTTCATGTGCACTGGGCAATTTGATTACTACAATTTTCTGAATAATTGAAACAGCTCTGGTTTTGGAAGATTTTTCACTATTATACAATTTTATCATGGTAAAAGAAATATTTATTTCTGAAACTTATTAATGAAAGTATCATTTCAATTAGTTATTATTCATCAGATAATGCAGCTCTATTATCTGCATTTATTATTTGTGGTAATGATGCATGATGCTTTAATAGCTCTCTAACACTGGAGAATTTTATTCCAAGAGCAGAAATGCCAAATTTCATCACTGGCCTTACGAGACTGTGTTCTTTTTTAAACACGGTGAATTTTTATTTAAATCCTTTTTTTTTACAAAAGGGTGAATATATCCCAAGTCAGGAATCATAAATTGCATCAGATGTGGTTACAATGATTTATTTATTTTTATGACAGTATGACTGGGGGGCAAAAAAAAAAGCTAACACAAACACTCACTCATTTCCAGCTTAATCTCTCCTTTTCATGTTTTCAATTGCACCTATTTGCTTTCTCTCACTCTCCCTTCCATTTGTTTTCCCAAGCAGTGACACAAATTGCTCCCAAACTAAGGGCTAGGTGCTACGGCTCAATATTTTGATTGGCAGTTTTAATGGCCATGGTAAGTTCCTGGTAAATAATGTTTAAAAAAAACTGGCAGAAGTTCCATTCTTAAGCAGTGCTGCTAAGCACCATTATAAATTCTCTGCTTTTATTTCTCACAACTATATATATTTTTTTTTAATTTTGACAGTCTTGTTTGCCCAGAGCTGCCTGGCAAAGGTGCAGAACACATCAGCTAAGACCACAGGTGCAGATGACACATTTACTCATTCAGGTGTGACCAGGAAGAACCATCCCTACAATCAGCTCCTTGGTGATTAAGCAACGGAAGTGCATCAGTTACTTTTACAAACTCCTATTGCAAAATGTTGTCTCACAGTTACCTAACACCTTTGTGTTAATTGCATAATTAATTTGAGTAGTGTTCTTATGACTGCTATTAGAGAAGTCAGGCTAAAAAAAAATCTGTGCCTACTGGCAAAAGTCAGAGACTGAAGCTTCACAGACACTGCTTGTATTATCCATGGCCTGTTACTCTGTCACTAACACCTTTCTTAAACTGTTCCATAAACAATAAAACATTGTAAGCTGTTGTGGCAGGCTCCAACACCTTGCTCTACTCAGGTTCTGGGACACAACAGCCTCCCAAGACATCCAAATATATAAGTGATAAATAAGTAAGAGCAACACAAATAACACTGCAATAAACGTGGAGCTTTCTCACACAAACAAGATTGATGTGAAATGCCATAGTGAGTAGCAAAAGAAAAAGGATGAGGTTTAAAAATTCACATAGGCTACTGCAGAGATGAAGAAAAAAATATTTGAAAATACAACAGGGAACTGTTAGAGATTCCATATTCAGTATTATCAAAAAACCTTTGCAGAAAAAGAAGCCTGGCACCTCATATATCTTCAAATAAAGAAAGGTGGTCTTGTCTGTATGATCATCTGCACTTTTCTTTTCTCTGTAGTGTAGTTTTATTGGCTTAAATGGAATTACAGCAGGAAAAAAAAGCTACCTAACATCACAGCTGGGGCTAATGTTCTTTGTAAAATTATGACTGCAATATTCAGTCAGCAATTAAAGAAGCTCATTTCAGACATGTAAACTATACACTTGCCCTTTATTATTTGTAATGAATCAATTGGCTGTGCCAGTAAGAATACTTGCAAAGACTTGTTGAGCACATGGACTTGCAAAAACTTTCAGTAACATGTAGTCACTGACGGCCATACTGTTGCCAAACAGAATAATCTCAGACCCTTTGTCTTACATTTTGCTGCCTACATTTTAGCATTAACTAAAATTCAAGGGTAGAGATCTAAAGAGAAGAAAGGATTATTTGATATGAAGCCTTGAGTAGGATTAGGAGGAAAACTGTTCCAAATTCCAGCACACAAAAGTAATCTCAGGGTGGACATGTGTTAATCACACGGTGCTCCTGCAGTACGTGTCTGTGGGAATGTCCCCTGTGCTAGCATGATCCATGTTATTTCTCTGCTCCAACAGAAACTGGTTTCCCCTTCTTGAGTCCTTCTGTATTAAATACTGGCTAGGCAGGATCCTGTCTGCAGAAATTCTGCCATTATACATGGTAAGAAGACAGGTGACTTTTAGTTTGCATAGGAACTGACACATATACAACAGAACCAGCAGAGTGTAGTACAGCTGACTGTATGGACACGCCATGGAACCCATCAACACCCTACACCTCCAGCTGCACAGGAAGATCAAGAATTATTGCCAAGTATAGCTGCTGCCATGGCATTCACAGCAGGAAGTGCCATGTGATACTGGCTGTGCTGTCATTAACACCATGTCAAACCTCTCCCCAGGCTGTTTGTACACCAGGGAGACCCTGCAGCTGGCCCAGGAGACAGAAACAGGAAACCTGGGACAGTCTCTCCCCCTCGTGGCGAAAGCCCTCAAACCCTAAGTGCTTCAAGGGGCCTTCTCTGCCTGCAGCTTATCTCAATCCTTTGAGAGGCTACTTAAATCACAAGGTTTCACTTTCCTAATCTCCCTGCAGTGCTGCTTGTGGCATCTTTCAACTGTTCTGTGCATAAAAGAAGTAACTTAAACACAGGTTTTAACCAGTTGGTAATGCAGGGTTGGGATCCCACTGAAAAGTAACTAGACATAAATTAATACAGAGAATAACCCTGCCATAGATTCTCCAGGATTTCCTTGTGTACTAAACTTTTTTCTCACCTCAGTTTTACATAAGTAGATAGTCCAAGATCCTACTTATTAAGATCCTCAGAAGAATGGAAACTAAGTGAGAAAGTATTATTTTAATAACACCTTTCTAAGACTTTGCTAAGATATGGAACACAACAGTGCAATCAGGTTACATGAAGTCTTTGAGACACCTGCTTCCATTCTGCTGTCACAGGACACATTTCACAGCACACAAACCAGATTCCCAGGACAGGGAGGACTGACAGTTCTTGGCTCACAGAGAGATGACATACCCACAAAGGCTAAAAACATTTCTTTACAGCCTCCTGGGGAAAGCAAAAATTACCTCAGCAAGTCTTGAGTGCTTGTGAACGTTCTCTCCTTTCTGCACACTGGGAGCAAGCTGCTGCAGCACCCCTCGGCTGCTCGTGAGGGCACGCGTCAAGCGGGCAAACTTCCCCCAACCTTGAGAAAACATGCAAGATTAGACACACATTACCAAAAAAAGCTGCAAGTGTACCTCATAAGACCTCTTATATGACCAAAGGGAGAAAAAGTTGTTAAAACAGAGCAATCTGCTTTAATACTGACCAGAAGGGAGTATAATTTAACCAAGTAGCAGATAAAAGCACTAAGTCAGAGAATAGGTGTCAGCGTGGTACAGTAATAAAACCCATGACTGCTGTGACTTTGTATTCAATGACTCTACAAAAGTACTGCCACATGAACTGCATATTTTGCAAGGATAAATGTCCACTATAGAATAATCTCATATTAAATCTAATGATCAGATTTGGATCTCACAGCACTGCAGAAGACACTTCAGACTAATCAAGATGTAAGGCTAGAGTCATGCACAATGAAAATTACAGTTGTCTGTAACAGAAGTGAATCTACCCTCAGATGCATCACGCATAGATCTGGAATAAGCAGAGAAATATATATAAGATAATAAAAAGCAGAGCAGAAAAGCAAAACAAAATCATTAATTTTACTCTCTCTAAACAAAAGGGGGAATATACTAATAGATTTTCTCAAACACGAATTAAACATTTAGCAGCTTCTGGCAGAGAAGTCATATGCTGAATTTTAATTCAGAATATTTTTTACTGTGATTTCAAATATCCCTGAAAATAGAAGACTTTCAATGACAGTCACAAGAGCTAGCTACAACTATAATCTTTATGAGCAGTACTTTGCCATGACACATAGGCAGAGTATACATCTGGATATTTTTGGTATACTGAAAGGAAGAAACAGCGTGTTTAGTCCCAACCTTGAAAAAATGCTAGCACCACCTGGGAGCTCTTGAGCTCCTACCCCTCATCACCAACTCCAACTAAGGATGGTCAGCACTTTGAAGATTCAGTTTATAATGAGAACCTGGTTCTGGAACACGTTGCCTACACAGCTTTCCTGTAGACCCCTTTTAGGTACTGGAAGGTGCTATGAGGCATCCTTGGAGTCTTCTCCTCCCTGGGCTGAGCACACCCAACTCTCCCAGTCTGTCTGCACAGCAGAGGTGCTCCAGCCCTCTGAGCATCTTTGTGACCCTCCTCTGAACTCACTCCCCAGGTCCTTCTTACACTGGGGGCTCGGAGCTGAGTGCAGTACTCCATGCGGGGTCACATAGGATTGGAGTAGGGTATTGGAATTAAATACCAATATAGCTGTATGGAACATGCCTGGACTCGTCTGGCCCTTGCTGCTTGACCAGAGGCAGCAGCTGTGGTGGTTTCACCCCAGACACACCTTTGGCTGGCTGGATGCTGCAGCTGGGTGCTTGGGACAGGTCCAGGCATGCAGGAGCTCAGGTTTACCTCTGGCAGAGAGGCTTCAAGGTGAGGTGAAGGAAAGGAGTCGGTTCTGCTGGAGGGTTTGATCCAGAGCTTTACTCCAGGCACACAGGCCTCTGAATCCAGCAACATCTCTTAATAGAACTTCCAAACCACATGGTTGCTGTGTCTTTTAACCCCAGGGAGAGGGGGAGGGAAGGGGTAGGGATCCCAGCAACCAGGTCAGGGAGGGGAAGTCTCAGGGGACAAATGACACCTGGATGGCCCAATGACCCCAGGGCTGAGAGGCATCTTTTAACTTTGCCAATCACACAACTCTTCTGGAATGTCAAGATTGACAGACAGCACTCAGCACGGGGCAAGGGAGGGGAAGGGAGAGGTGACTGGCACACCTGGGGAAGGAAGCGGGATAACTGAGACAGGCTATGACATCACACCGCAACAGCAGGGCAGAAGAATAATTTTCCTAGACTGCTGGCTATGCTGCCTTTGATACATCCCAGGATACAGCTGGCTTTATGAGCTTCAAGTGCACCTGGCAGAGTCACAGCCAGCCTCTCCCCGGCCCAGGGGCAAGGCTTGGCAGGTGCCGGGCCCGAGGAGGCCGGAGGGGGACGCGCTCCAAGGGGGCAGCGGCGATCTCCCCTCAGCGGCGCGGAGGGAGCGGCGGGCCGGGCCTCTGGGGCCCGCAGAGAGCACAGCGGGCCGGGGCTGGAGCCGGCCGGGGCTGGAGCTGGCCGTGGTGCTGGAGCCGAACGAGCGGGGCTCGCTCGCACAGGGCAGCCCCGAGAGAAACAGAACGGAGCACAAGGTTCCAGCTTCGCCCGGGAACTCGAAACTGGCCTCCCCTACCACGCACAAAATGTTTCTAATGCCAGATAACAGACAGCTCCTTTTACTAACTCGAACCGGACTGATGGGGAGGGAGTTATCCTGGAAGATGCGAAATTTGGTTCAAAACCTGAGGACAAACTTTCAGTGGGCATTTTCTTCCAAACATTGTTCTAAGATTTGGGCTATTTGGAGATGCACAGAGGGAAGATCAAAAGGAAGCACCTCACTTGAGCTTTTTTGTCCACAGCCCTGTTGTTCACACAACTGTGTAAATGTGAATAAATCAAGATTCCAGCAGTTCTTGCCTCCACTCAAGGCACTTTTGTTGCACAAAAGCACTGCCAGACAACTCCGTGCTATGATCTGTGGCTGTGAATGCTGAGCACCTTCGGGTGTCCCCCTTCTTCCCAGGAGCCATCTCCTTCTGAAAGGCACAGCTTAACCCATCCCTCTCTCCTCAGCATCCCCTGCAAGCATCTCCTCTGCCCTCCGTGAACATCTCACTTGTGGGTGCCTAAATGGCCCACAAAAGAACTGTTTCCACAAACTCTAGATCTCCCCCTCTACTCCAAGCTCTGATCTGAAAGCAATGTAAGTGTTCTAGGCAAGAGATTGTGTCTCTTTTCAGCTTGGCTTTTCAAAGCAGTGTGGACACAAACTGGGAATACATACCCTAATTCTCTCCACACATAGGGTACCACACCTGAGAGCCCAGCTAGGAGATGCTCCCACCACGGTGCCATGGTATGCCTAAAACCAGGCACCAAATCCATGTGCAACATGTAAGAATTTCATCTTTAGAACACAACACCCTCCTCCTTTTGGGGTTCTGGTTTTTGTGAAAGATTAAAATGTGCCAACTCCAACATACAGTTAGACCTGCAGACTGTGGCACAGGAAAAAGAAAATAAAAATTAAACAGAATGCCAGTACTAAACCTGTTGAATCATAACATCTCCAGTAATGCCTGAAAAGACAACAGCAGGTCAGCTATCTATCCAACAAAGAGAGGTCAAGTAATGGACTTAAGCCATAGGATTGAACTCAAACACTAAATTTTAAGGGTCATGGAGCTTTCCAAGATGAGGAACTAAGCTTCAAAATGTAAGAACATATTGGTGTCTGTCCTGCTAAAGCAGAGGGACCAGATTACATGGATTAGGAGTTCTCTTTCAACACAGGCAGTTGGTATAGCCCTACATCCACTGTTTTCCTCTACAAACAGAGAAAATACAAATTAAATTTAAAATCTAGTGATCCTAGGTGATTCTAATACAGGCATATATAATCCTCAAACAAGATAAACTCACATAGAAGAGAAGACAGCTTGCAATTCAGGAACCAAACATAAAGCTGGCTACCACCCCATGGTGGTGCTTGTCTGTGCCCCTGTCTTTGATTTTAACCCATTTTTATCATTGTTTGGTTTCTTTTCAGTTCTGCAGAAAATATCATACACAGACAAAGCAATAATGACATTAAAACATTTACAGTTCAAAAGAATGGAAAGCCTTCAAGATTAACAGCACTGATTTTAGCACTCCTGCATTCCACATTGTTCTTTCAGTTTTCCACCATTTCTTCGCAAAAAGGTGAATAGAAATTGCTTCTTATAACACTCAAGACGATTACACAAGCTGTCCCCTGAGATTTGTTTCATGTGGAAATATGGCATTGAAATATAATTTTGTGCTGCGGCATCAAAACTTTTCTTCCTTAAAGCATGGATTTCATTTAACAATGGCCTTAAGTTGAATTTTCTGTATTTTTCAGTAAGTTGATACTCAAGCACAAAGCACTTATTATTTATTTGTAGGTAGCTATTTGTTTCCCACCATTCTTCTCAATTCATTCCTGATAACTCCAGAATCCAAACACTGGGAACTGTGGCAGTTACAGAACCCTTGTTACCATGCTGCTGATCCATGACTTACACAATTCCTAGAGTCAGAACAAGAAGCCATTGTCTGCTAGAGAACAAGCTTGTTTGTCCACAGCCCTGTTGTTCACACAACTGTGTAAATGTGAATAAATCAAGATTCCAGCAGTTCTTGCCTCCACTCAAGGCACTTTTGTATTCCCACACATGAAAGATCCTTGCTTACATCCATTCTTCTCCTTGAAACCTCATGTCTAAAACAGTATCATTTTTCCATCTGGACTGGGAATGCATACTGAAGTTTTTAATATACTCACTACTTCCCCTTCATTTGTTTCCTCTTTTTAAGAAAACATTTCATCCAGATGAAAGCAGAGTATATCTTAATCAAAATATTTCAAACACTGGCCCTGTTCATATAAATACATCTTAAAAACAGAACAAAAAATCCCCAAAAAAATCCTCCAGAAACAAAAAGGAAAAAAAAAAAAGAGGAAACGTGAATTTTCCCCTGAATTAAGATGAAGGAGACAAAATATTTTTTGTGTCTGTGCCCCTGCTTGTTATGCAAAGGACAGCTTAGCTGCAACATGAAATAAAGCATCTTCTGCAGAGGAGATGGCAACTGATGACTGCTACAAAGCACAGAAGGCTACATCATCTTGGAGAATAACAACCATTCACTACTTGATTCAGTGATGCTAAATTTGACCACCTCTTTGTACAAAAATGAAGTATCAAAAGCACAAATTAGGTTCCAAAGCTTAGTTTTCAAGCTTTTATGAGACAGCATAGATGCTTCTGGATATGTTCACCTTGTATTCATATATTCAAAACCTGTTCAGGCAAACTTCTTACAAGCCACTCAGAGTGCAAGCAGAGTTTCTATTTGTCTGCATAAATAATTGTTTTGCATAAAGTGATGCATTCCACTTTATACACTATTCTCAAGCATCTCATACTTGGTGTGCTAGATCTCAAACCAGGAGAGACATTTACAGACAAAATGCATTAGTTCCAAATACAGTATAAACTTCAAAATTCAGCTAAGAAGGTGACCTAGCACTTGACAAGCCAAACTTAGCTATGCTATAGATTGATTTTGCCTTCTTCTATTCACGTAAACCTCTTTTACATTTCCCTGATTTTTTTTTGAGGGGCAAGCAAAGGGGAAAAAATGGAAAGAGGTTGTTTAAAAAAATTATCAACATCACTGACACTATTTTTAAGCGGTTTTATTTAGAATACACTATTTTTAAAGCTGCTGCATTTAAAAGCAAGCTTACTTACCTTCCATGGAAATCATAAAATAAACATATCTAAATTATCTGAATCAATTAAAAAAAGGCCACAATGAGAAGTCTACTTTTTATGCGACTTACTTGTTTCATCTATTCCAATGTCTGACATTACTAATCAATAAAAAAACAAGTAAGCATGAAAAATGGTAATGGGACCTTCTATTCCTCTGAGTCACCTTCAGGGGAAAGATGCCTATTCATCTTTGTATAGTCAAACACCTGCCATTACAGCTCTACACTTTTCACTCAAGGAGCTACATCATTTGCAGCTGAACAATCAGGCTTGAAATTGCCAGCAGGTGATAGAAAACCAAGATACACCACAGCTAAGCAGGCTTAGCCTGACAGATCAGTTGCTCCTTATGTAGTACAAGAACATGATCGATTTAATGGTTTTCTTTACATAGACATACAGGCACTGATTCTGAAAATCTGAAATGCTTTCAACTATAAAGTCCTGCAACTGTGCAAAGAGCACATTTTATTAACATATGTGCATCTACAGGCAACCTGTTACATACTTAGTACTCATAAGCATAGGAAACTGATTACACATACAAACACAGTAAAAGGAAAGTACTTGCTAAGCTGACTGAAGGTGAAAGAAGGAAAAAGAATTGATTTAGCAATCAATTTTCAGTTCACAATTTTAGTTTTTCAGATTGAGAGTTCATTTGGGTTGAGAATATGAGAAACATTCCTAAGAAAATTGCCCTCTTTCAAAAGCATGCTACAGAGTTCCTGTGTAACATTGCACACAGCACAAAGAACACGCCCTCCTCAAAGCTCATGTGTGTAAATGGTCCTCAGAACAAACTAGTACAATTTTACCTTTTTAGATCTTCCAAAAACATTTTTCCACTGTGTGAATCCCAGAGCCTACTACAGATGATTATCTAACACCTCATATCTGCCTTTTCTTCCCCCTCTCACAGCATGCAACTGCACAATGAGATCTTACATTAAAGACATGGACACATGTGTAAAATTCTGTTTGACAAATCAGCTCCTCCAAGAAGTTGCTCATCTAGCCATCAAGTGATTAATACAATATCACACAACAAAATTCCTACAGCAAGTATATTATGGAAGAAAAAGGGATAAATTAAGGATGAAAACAGAAATGCAGTTCCATTTATACCAAGATTGATTTGTGTATAAAGTGACAGAGAACTCTTTACTGGCATGAAACTTCTGAAACGTTAATAATTTTAGGAAATTCAGAAATAATATTTGGAAGACACATTTAGTGCTCAAGCTCTTCTGTACATAAAGACATAGCAGTCAGGGAAAGAGTGAAGAGCTGTGAACCAGTGGCCTCTAAATAATACATTCAGTTCTTCTGTCTGCAACCTCTGTTAGTTATTTTGCCAGTTTTCATGGGCCTGAGGGAGAAATTCTGCCCATCATCAACTCCTCTGCAAGTCCATGCATTTATGTGTAGGTTTAGTGCCTATACTGCTGCAGATGTGCAACCACTGAGAATGACCATGCTCACTGCAAGAACAGCATAATTTCAAGATACAAAAGAGACTTAAAAAGAAAAACACAACTATGATTCCCTTTCTTCAACATGCTTGTATTGAAAAAAAGAAAGTTAAAGTGTTTCTTTGTGTTGAAAGTGAAGGACAAACTGCCTATCTCTCCCACATTAGGGAACCCCTGTGAAAGCAGAGGACACAGCTAGCACTCCTGACTGAGTCCTGCTTATCAACTGACTAAATTAAGCAAGGGCCCTCACTACCAGCAAATAAATGAGAGCCAGCTTTACAGCATCATACTTATTTATCTGTGCTGTCACTCCTCATCAGTATACAGTGAGCACCATTAGGCAGGGAAAAAACAGACCCAAACTTTCTGACAAGCTAAGATTTTTAGTGTTATTAAAGCAATAAGGAACCAAACAAATAGCATTAACAGGAGAAAAAAATTATCCACATAGCCTGGAAGGGGGTATGTTTGTCAAGGTTGTACTTCCTTTTTCATGGTAACAGGTGTTTCCACTTTGAGAAACTATGTTTTTAAAGAATAACATTTTGAGAACAAATGTAAATCACTTCATCTTCACAGTAAGTTTCCTGTTTAATTTAATACTACAAATATTATTAAATACTACAAAAATGCAAACAACAGGAGAACTTACATCCTTTTTCACCCCAGAGGATGCAAGTCTCTGTAATCCTCCATAGGGTACAAAAGGTCTGTTTCTGACAGGCTCTGAACCTGAGTGGAAGTTTATGCTGCTGTCACAGCTGAGTTTGCTGCCAGGTTTCCAGGCTGCAGCTCAGCAAAGGGTTAAGAGCAGGACACTGCTGTGCTAGTGTTCACTCTCCAGGACAGCTTAAACCTGATTCCACTTAAGATAACTGCAATCTCTCACATAGGCTAAAAGAAACTAGAACAGGACTTTAACATAAGAAATCCCATAATAATGACAAATAACATCGAATCAGGCAGAATTTAATTATTCTGATCTTTGCTAGACTCAGCCAGGGTTGATTCCTCAGGTTTTTCATGCAGTTTCACACACAATTTGTAAAGGGCTGTTGTGCAACATTGTGAATCCTTGAGGGCTATGCTGGAGAGTGGGTTAATAGCGTATTTTAAAGGAAGAACAGTACCTAATTTACTATGTAAACTGGTCTTTCTGAAGCACTTGGGGCTTTCATTAGCAATGACCCTTTCCAGAGCAGGCCAGAACAATTTTACTAAAGAAATCAGCAACCATTTCTTGCACAAATGCCATCCCCAGTGGCACAGTTACAAGCTATTTTAACATTTCATTCTTAGCCTTGGGTATTTAAAGGACTTCAGCTCTTTCAAGACCAGGGCAAACAAACAAAAGCAGCATAAATATATAATTGTGAAAAAGACCAACCTTTACATGAATCATCCTCAATGGGCTGCTTGAAAGCCGTTATGTCATTGAAAGTGCAAAGAAATAAAACCACTTTATCCTGCTCATTTCGAATTGGAGCAATTTTCACAAAGAACCAGACAGGTGTTCCTGGAAACAAACACATCAAAGAGTTGGTCAATGGCAGGCAGAACAGTAAATGTGCCAGTTCAGATGTTTACATCTCAAATCAGCTATCTGTAAAAGTTACTTTAATGTTGGCTTTTTTTTACAAACACCTATTTGGAAAAATAACAAAGCAGCTGACAAGTCTGTTGTTTAAGTTCTCTGCTCGGTCTCTTCCTAGCTTTATAATCTTCCAGGAATCACCCTATTTCTGAACTTCACCTGCAAAGTTAACACTTGAACTTAACTGCTTTGTGATCTCCTGAAAGAAGAGTCCCATGTATGTGCAAAGGCTGCACACAACAGTGTCTTGCTGGCTCTTGAAGGATTTGAAAATGGGCCAGCTGTGCCTAGGACATGAGCATAACACAGAGTCTCAACTCAGGAATATGACCAGTTTGGTCAACTTTATAATTCCCTACCAACAAGGAATGCCCTAAAAAAAAAACATGCCCTAACTACTACAGTAGCCTATGTCTAGCTTCAGAGCTGGGCTCCAGAAGCTCTGGCCCAGCCTGCAAATTCCCTCATGGAAGGGAAACCCTTCACAAGCTGCTTGCCTAGGCCTGAGCCTGCTCCAAATCACTCTAGTGTGAAGTAAGACTCCCCTGAATTCAGGAGAGAACAAGCCATTAGGACGAGATCACATGATGCTGTGGATGGGATCAAGTTGTACTGCATGGAACTGCACCTTTCTAATTACTGCAGCAGATGAACCGCTAATTAAACTGCTTGAGAGATAAAGTCTGCACATCACAGAAAAAGATGGCCCCAAAATACGACCCTTCAGTTGCTGCTGCTGCCATTTCTTCTTGACCTCTACCCACAAAGATCACCTTGAGGTGAGAATCTATCGGTCAGCCCTGCCTTTCCATGTTTCTGGCAGTTCTCCTGACACTGCTGAGAAGACCCAATGAAGTTCCATGTAACAAGGCAGTGTCTACCACTCTTTTCACAGGACTCACACTGCTTTTAGTGATATTTGAGTATAAGCTGATTGGAGGGCTCAGAACAAAGCACTTGGCTCCTGTATGCCAGAACATGACCTCCCTGAAGGCACCATTTTTAAGTCTGCATCTTAACTTTAGAGATAAAAAGATGACTTCTCCAGCTCTGAGGTACATCACAGTAGGGACACTCCAGACCTCAGCCTTCGGGGAGTTTGTACATGGGTTTTCAGACTGTCCCTACACCCTCAGAGATGATGAAAACTCACCACTGCCTTTGCAAGCACAAGAAGTAAAAGAGAAGATTCAGGCTTTCTTGCTGTGAGCAACACTTTTTTTGTGTCCCTTTTGAGATTTGTTTGGAGAGACGGATCTACATACCAGGGGCCAAACTAAGATCAGCAGGAGTGTGACCCTCTGGGAAAGCCAGAATAAAGAGCACCACACAATCTTTTTCACTCATGTGGCAAAGCCTATTTCAGAAACAGTGATCTTAAAGACTATTCCTTTTCTTCCTCAGTCACAGGACCCTTCTCTATGCTAGTGATCAGATTCTCTTTCACCTGAATTGCTCAGTATTTTAACATGAGCATGACATGGTATATTTAATGCAATAATTTTTAGTAACAAGGGCAACTTGTGTTTTCTGGCTGTCAAAGGGTCACAAGAAAACCTCAGGTATTTTACAAGTTACTGTCCAAAAAAGGAAGCAAAGGCAGCTTTTTTCCCACCTATGCTAATATAAGAGAGATTGCTGTTACCAGTGCCTCACCTGGCTGTTTCCCAGCCTCAGTGCTGAGGAATCTTTTCTGGCTACAGAAAGGTAGGGCATCTCCAAAACCCATGGACAACTTCCATAAACCAAGTTCAATTCCTAAGGCTCCCACTGTGCCTGCATAACACACAAGCAATTTCAAACTCTGGCTGAGATTCCATGCCATATGTACAGCCACTTCTATAAACAGCAGGGCCTATGATGCATGGAGGCCTATGATGCATGGAGGCCTCTGCTCAAAAAGCAGAGAAATCCAGATGGAATCACTGGTGGCCATTTCTGAAATACGCCTGCATGGCAGAAAGTATTCAAGGGTCAATTTTTTTTTTTTTAAAGAGTTAACATTCCTGAACAGCACCTTCCGAAAAAGTAAGAACAAACAAACATGCTAAGTGTGAAAGAAGATTAAGTAAAGTAACTGTGCCAGTAAAATCATCACTAACTTGCTAATGAGCTTAGAAGACACTGCCACAAAGCAGCCAACAGCAATTTTCTAGACAGTAACACCCTTTACACTACTCTTTCTCAAGAGTTCCTAAAATTGCCAATCTCAATTTCTTCTTGCCTACTTGTTTTTCCCAACTTCACAAGTGAACTATTCTGAGGCTGATCAAATCCGTATCCTGCTTTTACAGAGATTCCTTGGTGACTAACTGCTTTTCATTTTACCCACTTCAACACCCTTCACTAACGCTGCAACTTTTCAATCAGCCAGGATCTCCATCAACAGCCTTGCTTTTTAATCTTTATCTACATGCACTTTTTTTGATTAGGGATTTTTTTTCCCTCCCCAAACCACTCTATATTGTTTTACTACTTCAAACTGCAGCTATTCTGCTATGGGCTGCTCACCATAGCACTGAGGCTGAATTACACACTCAGTTTCTTCTCTGCCTCTCATAGCTATAAAAACATAGTACTGTGCTTTTGAAGATGCTGTACTCAACACAGAAAGGATGCAATTCACCCTCCTATTCTGGCTATTTGTCAGATGCATGAAGTCACCCTTCTTTATGGTTATGCTATAGAATGTTGTTGCAGGAATTTCCTAACATGTTCTGAATGCAGCAAGAGGACTTTTCCCAATAACCTGTCAAAGGCAGCTGCAGGGCAAGGAGCTTTTATCAGCAGGGTTTTTACTTTCTGGCTCCCTTGACTCCCACTCATGTGTTGTATTATTTATAGGAAAAAGGAAGACAAAACACTTTTTTACCTAGAACCAAGTGTATAACTTAGTGATATGCCCCACAGGCTAAAAGAAAGAGCCAGATGTCCTTGACAGCCAAAAGTAGTTGTGTTTGATGAAATGCACTATTGGGGTATCCTCGTAATTTCCAGAGTGCCACCATCAGAGCAAAGTCCAAAATCAGGGTGGCATGCAGGGCCTGCAGAAATCATCTTCCAGTTTGTGTTCTACACAGTAACACTACAAAGGCAGAAATAAGTAGACGGAAAATTCTGTCTCTACAACATTGTATTTTCTCTGCAGTGCATTCCCTAACATCTTGTCAGTGCCTCTTGTGAATAGGAGACAAGTGAATATAAAAATACAGCCATGAGGTGAGAGCTCACAGTGCTGGGTTACATGGGCTTCCCACAGTGCTCTCAACCAGCAGCTCATTCATAACAGAACTGGGATCTGAAACATGGGAACACACCAAATGGCTCAGCCAAGAAGTGGCCATGCTCAGCTTTTGTCCTGCATGCTGGTTTAATTATCAGAAGAATTTTACTTCTTAAACAGTTTATTTAACTATTAAACAGGAAAGCCTAAAGTATAAACTACTTATAAATCAGGTCGGAAACCAGAATTTCAATGTCCTACAGGCAGCCCTCATGCTCTTGCTGTCAAAGCCAACATCCCTGCTCAGCCAGACAACCATGACTAGCAAGAGGCACAAAAAAGACCATTTTAATGAAAAATGTGATTTTCAGATTCAGCCTGTGGTTATTCAGGCAGTGAAACTGCAGCATGTTCCAGAGTTCTCACAGCAAAACAAGAGCAACTTCCCAGTCTGCACTGATGCCACACAGAAAGTGTTTACCAGTGTTTCCAACAATATATCTACTTCCATTTACATTTTGTCTTTAGTCCTGGCAACCTCTCTCCCTGGTAAAGTTCAGTGATAATACCAGTGCACAAACAAAAAAAGTAAACACTCATGAGCTACATTGGCTTCTGTTGGATTTGGAATCAGCAGTGAGAGAATCCAGCCTTTGTCTGGTGGCATAGCACTAATCATGCTAGAAAAGGGAATGTCCCTCCAAAGCTGCAGAACAAGCAGTGGGGACAACTGAGAGGAAATGAAAACCTACAGTGAATGCCCAATACCAGCCATAGGACCAGCCTGGCTTGTGGTACCAAAGTTACATAGCCAATCCAGAATTAACAGGGGCAACTCTTGATAGGCTTTTATGGCCTAAGCACAGTTCTTATGGTGTTGCCTTAAAGCAAAGACAATTTTAAGCACTGTCATTCAAGTCCCAAGTCTTCTCCAGACTAATACACTCTAAATGTCTGCTTTCCTTTCAATTTCCCATCTGAAAAACAAATACTACTGTCTCTTCCCTATCCTTTTCTCCAGTCCTGTGTCTTTCAACAATGATATGTTCAGCTTCTTGCTGGGCAGGAACACCAGCAATTCATATGCTATTTGACTTTGGTTGAAGTCTTTCAGAAATTCTTACATCATCAAAGTGAAAGAGATCTTAAAGGTCTATCCCAGCCTCTCCATGAGCATACCATTGAGCTCTCCTAAGTTTTGCTTCCTGCCAAACAAAAATAGGCCATATGAAAATAAAAACCAATGTTTAAATGTGCTCTTTGCCCATACCTTGAGCCATTTAACCAAAGAAGCCAACTGTTTTTCAAAACTACTAAAAGCATAGTTTAAATAAAACTGGAATACACAATTTTTCTTTCCACTAATTAAACCAAAATCAATTTTAAAATACAATGAAAAAAATGTTTTGACAATTTAGCTGACATCTACACTGCCATTAATAAATGGGGCAAGTTTCCTCTAAGCAGCACAACCTCTACATTACTTGATAATGTCTCAGTCAAACAGTCCTCAGACACCTATTGTCCTGAAGGGAAACAGTCTGGCAGTATGGAAACAGAAATGTGCCCTTTCTCCACCAATTCCTACATGCAGCAATGCAGACAGCAGGAATTGAGTTCTATTAACAGCATGGCTGACCATTACAGCCACCCCTTTTAGGGTTTCACTTCTTCCCAGTGAAACCCTTTATGGTTTTCACTTCTTCTTATACTTCTTCTCAGTATGAGATTGTTCGTCTCTATCACACACTGACTGAACAGTTTGTCCAATGTCAAACTAGCAACCAGCTGATGAGGTGTGATCAGAGAGAGTTTGGCAAGCCACTGTACCCACACAGATTTTAACCAGCCATTGTACTCACACAGATTTTAACCAGGTGTTCAAAGAAGCCCATGACATTTGACCATGCAAGACAAAGAAAAAAGTCTTCCTACAGACTCTAGCTTTGAGCAGAGAGTGTACCAAATGAGAACAGACCATTTCAGCCTGCAGCTCATCACTCTTTTAAAGAGTAAACCTTTAAAATACACTCCCAGCGCTTTTAAAGCTGTTATCTTCGTGTCTTCTCTATCTGGTGCTTGGATGTTGTGGCACCTAATGCTTCTAAAGGTCAGATCTTTACATGCTAAGATAAGGAAAATCAATTTTAGTCCTCAAAGGTGGAATTGCTGTTCACAAGGGTTATCCTATGACACTGAAACAGCACAGCAGAAAACAAGGTTCAGCACAGAGTCTGGTACTGCAGTAGTGCTGGCACAGTTCACCTGATTCTGAGCTCTCTGATGAACAGAACATGAGTATAAGGAAGACACAGTAAAGTTTTGAGATCTTCTTTCCATTTACTGCAGGAAAAATACTTAAGGATTACTACTGGGAATCCTGTACATATTTGTGGAGATGACAGCAGGCCTTGCTTGCCAACACATTTGAAGACAATGATAAATGGGAATTACCAGTTTAATTTGACCTTGCTGAAGGTAACTGAACTCACACAGATGGGTTTCACAGGAGATGCAGGTGTGCATACTGCTTGACAAATAATGGAGGTGCACTTCAGTGAGAGGTTGAGGAGGATACCTGTCACTGGACTCCAACACCCTCATTCTCTCCTGCTTCTGTTCCTATGCAACAAAATGGGTTAGCAAAGGTTTCCATCTGGAGACATTGCAGGCACAGCACACACAAGTATAAATGGGTTTAGATGGTTTGAACCAATAAGTGTTATGAGAAACTCCTTTCTCATAACTGGGGTGGTGGGCAATCACAGGTCTACCACCCTGAAGTGAATTCTGCTTCCTACAAATTAGGATGGGGTTGTTTGCTTTTGAACCTCTATAGAAAGCACTTGTCTCAAAGATAAATGCAAGTAGAATCTACCAAATCACTATTTTAGGCTGATTTGTCATTCTCTGACATCTGAAGGCTTTCTAATACACTGAGGGAAGAAGGGAGAAGGAAGGAAGGGAAAATATTGTATACACGTTAAAATTAAAATTTTAAAAATCAGACCATCAAATTAAAAAAAACACACACAAAAATATTCATGCTATTAAATTTTTTAAATGTTCAAGCACCCAGAAAACAGGGAAGTGAAGCCCAGCACAAACTGAAAGTGCATCCCAGCCTTTGGGACTCTCACCATAATATGCCTACTCAGCAAAGAGCTACTGCTTTGCAGCATGCAAAATAGTTACCTACAGCCAAGCCAGCATTCTGGCAAGCATTCTGCTGGTCCTATCAGTAGAGAACTTCTGAGACACAAAAAAAAAGGTGTCTTAACACTCTCTCTGCAGCAGAGCTGCAGACCATAAGCAATGGGAATGCCTCTGCTCAGACAGGGGACACTTGAAGACTCTTTCTAACTCTTGATGCACTTCACCTTTGATGAGCTCACCCCACTTCAAATATTCTTCCACTAAAGTGGGTCAAGTACTGCATGGAAAAGGGGGTTAGATTTCAATTGGACACCACCTCTTCAGGGGCAGATAGAAGCAAGTGAATTTTTTATTCTTACAAAAATATACTTCATCAGTAATGAAAGCAAGTGCATATAGAACAAGCCTGCTTCTGCACTGCTTGTATGCCAGGCCTACATTGTAGACTAAATACAAGACAAAGAAAATCCAATTTAATTTATTCAGCCATTTTTAACTCCTGAGGCTGACCATAAAGTGTAAAAACCTAACAAATGGCTGTCAAAGTCTCATAAGAAGTTAGATGTTTAAAACACATCAATTCAAGTAAGGTAAGATACGACTAAGGCTAGATATAAAATATTTTCTAATACATAAGGTGTTCCCTTCTTTGGAATAAGCTCCTTTATCTCCACTGACTTCAGATTTAGTGATATTTTCATTTTCCCATATAAAAATAAACAATACTTCCAGCATCACTGGGCGCTCACATCTAATTAAACAATGGAACTGAAGCTCTCATGTGAAATTACTGTCAGTCTGTCTGCTGTCATTTGGCAGTCCTAATTAAAGAAAGCTTTCACTTTGTCTCCTTCCAGGTATGACAATGAATCCCCACTGAATGCAACTGGATGGCATCAAAGCAACAATGACAAAAATCTGGTGGCTATGCACCTGTTTGCTCTAATTGCTTCCAATTATCCTGAAGAAGCTCTGTATTTCTGGGAAGTAATTCTTCCAGAGAATAACAATGATTTTTACATATCTGCTCAGTTATCAAGGGCCTAGCCCAAGGAATCATCAAATCTCTATCACATCTTAATTTTAAGTTCTGAAAACAGAATGTAGACACTTTTGGATGTGGGGAGGACTGGACAAAGGAAGGTAAGGCCAGGGTAGAGGCAGCATCCATAAATGCAAACATGATGAAGACAGGGAATTGTATGTTGTTTCTAGAGTTAATACTGTGAACTGGAATGAAGTTTGTGGATATACTGTACCTATCAACAGCTGGATGAGGTATTCTTATCAGGCAACCAAGTAAATAGTAATACTGGGTCACAACCATGGAGAGTGCTATGTTAAAAAAAAAACAACTATCACTTCCAGTAACATCATTAAATGTCTCAATCTGCTTTGGCATGTAAGACCAGGGAATAATTGTTTCTCAAAGAAAGAAAAAAATAGCTGCTCCGAAAAGTACAAGATTGACTTGCACTACAGACATCATTATTAACTCAAAACTCCTATTTTGTTTTCCTTTGTTCCTCCAAAAGGTTAGAGACTGTACTGTTAAAACAGCCAGAATTACATTAAATGTGCAGACTGTGGAAAATGTACCAATTATCCAACAACTCAAAACTGGGGGAAAAAACTGCTATTTGTCATTTCTGTTAGTTTATAAAGAGGCTGTAGACAGGTAAAGAACAAGAAAAATCTATTTTCCTGGCTAATTTGAAAAAGAAAAATAGAATGGGGAAAGAACAGAGACACCAAACAGAGGAAACAAAGAGCAGGAAAAAAGATGTCTAACAAAATTCGGGGTCCTTTCCCAAGCTTTCAAACTGAGAGCAGGTTAGAAGCAAGCAGGTTCATTGTCTGAACCACTGCCACAGTTGCAGGCAGAGGTAAGGTGACCACAAAGAAAAGGCCACTTAGCAGTCTGGGTGCTAAGTGACTGGTAAACAGGACAGTGTTTTTCTATGACTTACATTGAGAAAAAGTTCCAGGATGTCCCCTTTTTGAAATTTTTCAGTTAAAACTCTCTAGTGTTATTAGTCAGTCTCTGTAACAGTAGTTAATGTATCTCTAGAACTGCAAATCTAACAAACACTAGGTGCTCTGCAGTTTGTTAAACTTGAAAGCAAGCTCTGCGCTTCCCTTTTTCCCATGCCTGTGACCCTCTGTGTGCGGAGCAGAGCCGAGGCAGCTCCGTCCCTCACGTCACACGGCACAGCTACTGCACAGCCGGGCCTCCTTCCAGGCCACCTCTCCTGCACAGGAGCAGCGCACAGCAGGGCAGGAAACACTCCTCACTCCACATACAGCAGGGCAGGAAACACTCCTCACTCCACGTACAGCAGGGCAGGAAACACTCCTCACTCTACGGGTACCTCGCTCTAAATCTGCATACAAGACAAAGAGGCCCCAGGCTCCACTGCAGGCCATATGCTGCAGCGTGACAGAAGAGCGGCTGCATCGTCTCCCGGTGCCAAAACACTGATAACTAAGAGAGAATTCCAGGCTCTCCCAGATCCCAGCACTGCAGCTTATTTACTTGGGTTTGGATGCATACATGTGAGCTGGATAAGGTCCAGCCACAAACTGAGCTAGGAATAGAAATCAGCTTTTAGGAAATAGGTAAATATTGGAGGCAGGCAGCCCTAGGAGGAAAGCAGCACAAAGCAGAGCCATACAGACTGAGCATACAGGCAGTACCAGCTGCATTGTTAGAAGGCAAAATTGTTAAGAGCAAAATAAGTTACAGAATGCATTTTTTTTCAGCTTAACATCTGCCTAGGCTGAAGACCTCAGTGTATTCACACTTCAGGTGACACAGAATAAGTAGATTAAGTATTTTCATCTTCATTAATAGACGAAAATAACTGCATGACATAGTCCACATTAGTTGATACACCAACTTTGGGGCAAGTTCATCTGCTGATATGTGCAGTTACAGACAGACTGAATTTCCTAGGAAAAAAATCATGAGCCAATTAAGGATTTTTTGTCCAAAACAAAAAACATTTCATCTGAAAACATAAGAAGTAGTTCAGATTCTAAAACAAAAGATGGGTTCTTTTTATTCCAAAATTACTATATGACGTCTTTGCTATATCAAGTTGTCAAAAACTGAGAAAGTATCTTCTCTGCAGTGGAAACTTGCTTAAACCCAGCTTGTGTACTACCATTGTTGATGGAACCTTCAGTGTTGTCTTAAAGCATCACACATAGATTACTCTAAATGCCAGAACAAATTAGAAAGCTTCCTCTCCCTCCCTGAGTGACTTTCATCTCTTATGTTCTCATTTCTCCCTTTCAGATCAAGTGGCAGAACTGGGGCTTACTTAGCCCCAGATAAAGCACTGTCCTCCAGGGTGACAGAATTGCAGTGTACAGTACAATTAAGAACACCTTTACACACCTACATTAATGAACAAACCAATGGACTACTTACTGTTCTTCTTGTACATCAGGATTTCAAAGGAGTTCATCTCATAGTTCTCAAATGTTTGCCGGACCTTGTCGATTGTGTCTTTGTCTGTCAGCTCTCCATACATAAAACTGCAAATGAAGGGAGAAATTCCAGTCAGATACCAGACAAAGACACAAAGACATTTGTTTACTGTGTAAAAAGGACCCATTTAGAAATGGCTCTTCTTTGATTTTGTTTCACCTGGAAAGCATATTTGACAGATGTAGCCCCAGGAGACAAAAGACAAAACTGGAATAAACAGATTACTTTTCTCCTCAAGAACAGGCACAACACTACAAGCTATTTAACAGAAAATAAATCTGTTCTCAAATACCTGCAGGTGCTGCTTTTTTGCATAACTTCTGCTCTGTGATATCCTGATAACTTGCAAAATCCATCGTTGCTGTAGACAATGGGCCAATCCACGATCTGGGCATTACCCAGGACAAAATTAGTATCTGTTTGAAAAAACACATCATTTAGACATTAGTCAAAGCTATGGTTGCATTAGAGGAAATATTCATTTCAGAACCCAATCCCAATTGCTTCAGCCCCTGCACAATTTTCCCAGATATCATTCCCACTGCAGTCATCAGGATTGTTCCTGGTTTTTAAGTATTTTTTTATTTTTAAAGAAGTGTTAATTACTCAGAGCATAAATAAAACACATGATGGTTAAGCAGGTAAAATTTATCTCTTGACTGAGGACAGATCCACCAAACTGTTTCCCTCTGTGCCACGTGCTCTGATCCACATGACACTGAGTTTGAAGGTGAAGCCTCTGACAGGGGGCCAAACCAACCCATGAGCAATACTTCTCCCTGAATGCAGGCACAGGGGCTCCTCTCAACACCGCCCTCACTGCTGGCCACACAAGCTCAAACACTCATGTACAGCACTCCAAACTAAGGGCTACCAATTACACCAGCAGAAGGAACTCCTTGTTTGCAATACAAGCCAGAAGCAGTTTCAATCAGTACAAAAAAACCCAAAACAACCAAGCAGGATTCACGCTTCCATTCTTGCTGGGGCTGTGCGTGCCACAACTTTATGCTTGCCAGCTCAAACCTACACGTGTGCCAAGGCAGACAGCAGTGCTGCTCCCTGGGCACTGGCAGGCAGCAGGAGATGGTGGCTCCTGTCACAGCTGCAGAGACCCTCTGGCTTTTGGAAGAAAGGCTGGGCACTCACATGAGATCAAGAGGCACTCATTTTTAAGGAGAGCCCTTACAGGAGTCCAACACACTGCCTACTTTTCAGTATCAACTCCCAGCTGCTCACACATCCATACAGCTCATTAATGCTTCCTCCAAACAAATGACATTTTACCTATTAATTGCAGAGAGTTTAGTTTGTTTTAATTCCCCCTTTAATTCCCCCTTTCACCCCAAACTTCAAGTGGGTTTAAATAAAGCATCCTGTAGTTAGCTAAATCCACTGCCCAATTCCACAAGCATGATCAAGTGTACTTTTACACACTCTTTAGAATGAAATACATCAGTAACATAACTTCAGGGTATTTCAGCTCCTTTGTTCCTCACAGCCTCTTTTAAATACCATGAGTTTCGCTTAGTTGAAGCACCTTCTCTCCAAAACAATCCGCCTCTTTTACCCCTTCCTATGAATGAGCAAACCAAGTCATTTCTCACTGCTAAAGCAAGAGCTCTTGAGTGTCTGTTATAAACACTACATTAGACTGTGTTAGGATATTTTAAAATTTCATCAGGAAGTACAGAAAATGACAAAAAAAGAGGCAAATGCAAATGTTAGGTGAGGTCCTGCCCTGATCTGAATAGTGTTATTCCAAGAATGAATTGCTTAAGAATTCCTTCTGACTGCCTTCCCTTCTCAAAAGGTTACTTTCCCTTCTCTCCACTTCCTAAAGAGTTCCTGTTAAGAATTTGCCTCTCTTTCACCCTTAAACCTTATTGTTTTCAGATAAATAATCTCTTGGGATTTTTTCATTGGAGGCTATATAGGACACATTTCTGATAACCATCACTGTGATAATACTACTTTTATCTAGCCTTGCAAGGCTTCTGTGAGTTACAACAATGCTCTTATCTCCTATTTACAAGTGAAAACAAAGCCCTAAATCCACAAGGGATTTAAGTTCCAAAAGTTGAGACTGCAAGAGTCTAGTCCCTAGATGCCCAGCTATCAAGAACTTGGGAGCTGGAAGCTGTGTGAGCAGTGTTGGAGAGGAGAACTGAAAAACTTTAGCACAGCAAGTAGAAATCTGACCAAGTTAAACCAGAGAAAACAATGAAAAAGGGGATATTTTAAGGCTGTTTTTTTCCCCTTTCCCATGTTTGCTACAATACCCAATATTTTAACATAAGCCCAGTTCTTACAGTTAACACACGATTCTTTGCCATTATTGCAGGAGCTGAAGAATCATGTTCCCACTTATATTTTGGCCCAGCAAAGCCCAGTTTTTTGGACTGGCAGTTTCCAAAGGATGCATAGAGAACATCACACATTTCTGTCCCCCAGCAGCAGTTTGGACATTCTCCTAGAAGATAAGGCCACCTTAGGGCAGTGAAAGCTCAGCCATTATTTCAGCTCTCTAATGACTGTTCTAATCATCAAGCCACCACAGCAAATAGATGTCAACACCCTCACCATGTGAGTTTGAAGTCAGTATGGCTTTGCTGTTGTATTTTATGCACCCCTACTAGTCAGCACTGGGTGAACCTCTCTAGCATGCAGAGGTACAATGTTTCATGAGAGTCCAGGCTGGGTTTAGTTAGCTGTGAGTTAGAAAAGCAAGCTGAGAGATCATTATGTACCCATAAAGCTTTAAAGGAAAAATTTTGCACAACTATCAAACCACAGAACAAGTCAGAGATGTTGATGATCCCATTGTTTCTTAAGTGTCTCTCCCTTCTAGCTAATTCCAACTTCATGCATCTTGACCTTTCTTTGATCCAAGCTTTACACAGCTGACAAACACATCTCATTTCTTCAGAAGTGTCTCTGACAACACTGTTTTGCCTGTGTGAACGCTGGCAAGACACAGCATAAAATAAGGACTCCCACTTATAACTGCAGTGCCCAGCTTGCTCTGACAGACAGCCCAGGAGTAGAAGGGCTGTCCTCGTTGCTATCATTTACACTCAACTGCAGTGACATCCCTGACAATGTGCTGCTTGGGGACAGCTCATAACCTGGTCATTTTTCCTGACATAAGAAAATACTGAGAAACATCCACTGAGGCAAATACTGCCATTGCATCTGCAGGGACACAGGGTCCCAGGGACCAGGAAACAGCTGTGGCTTTGTTACACAACGAGCACCAGGGATGCTCCAGTGAACTCTGAGTATCACAGAGCAGAGACTCCTGGAGACTCACAAGTGGGTCAGCAAGGCCAGGAAAGGAGATGGCAAGAGGAACACCATGAAGAAATCCACTGCTAAATTCTCTTCAAAGACAGGGATGCAATGGACATAATAGTAATAGCAGCAGTATCAAAACTATTTGGTGACTTGAAGCACCACTTTGAAAGGGCTCAGTGAACTCCCCTACCTGGAAATCAATTTCTATCACAATGGCAACTGTGCTAGCAGTATTGCCTGGCCCACAAAGAAGCTGAAAGCATCACTGGCCTTTCTTATAAGCTAGAACTAGAGAGGGCAGGCTCATATAAGACCTGGGCTTCTGGCTTGTGCTGAATTGCTGAATTTGGCACAGTCTGAACAAGACCAAGAAAATATGCAGAGGTGCAGCACAGAGCACAATGCGCTGCAGAAACACCAGTAAGAGCTGTAACATCACAAAGGCAGCACAATTACTTGCATGAGCAGGATAGCCTTCTGCAGCATGGATTACTTTGTGAAGTGCATCACTTCCTATTTTCTAGCCTGCATTTTCCCCAGGTTAGTTCTTCTCATTGCAGTATACCCACGTCAGCATCTACACACTCAAATGTCAGATTCAGTTTGGGTGATCACTTTAAAGTAGACATGGCCGCTTAAAAGCAACAAGAAAAACATTTTAGCTCCTTCCAAATTACAAGAATGGATTTCACTTAGTCACTGAAACCAGTACTTTCCTCCATTCAGAAAAACTATCACAGAAGAATCAGAAAATGTCTTTCTAAATAACCTTGGTCCTTTTAACACTAACAATCACAGGTGTCTAGAGTACCCATCTTACCAAAACTACTCTATCTACTGAATCCCACTGTTATATTTAGTACTTTGTTTAACCAAAACCGTCCATCAGCTTCCAGAATTCCTGTAGATAAGTTGCACTCACAGACATTTATCTGGCCAGGACTAACTGGCTAAGGAGTGTTCACCTCCTTGCACGAACGTGGAGCAAGTCACTGAAATGTCTCCCCCCTACCATTCACTGCCCTGCACAGCTACATATTCACTCCCACTGCATCCCAGCCTCTCCTGTAACTTGGATCTTGCCAAGCTGAGACCACCTCCCACCTCTTTCCAGAGGCCAGCACATCAGTTCTACCTCCCCAGTCTCACCAGTGATGCACAGGTTCTCTTCTGGGAAACAGTGGCAGAAGGTCAGAGACCAACAGCCAGACATACTCCCACAGCACTGCCAGACACATCCCACACTGAAGGTGTTCCCTCACTGCACAGGGAAAGCTGAGGGGAAACCTCTGCCCAGGCAGCTCTAGTGCACACCTCAGTAACAGGAGAGGCTGCTGCCCACTGCATTTTCCCATGTTTGGGTCAATCAAATCCCCCAGGGTGCTTGGGTTTGTGTAGTGCACAAATGGGATTTAAATATATTAATATATTTCCCCACAGTCATCATACAAATGCAACACTCAAAAGGTTTGTTCCCGATTTATTCCCCCCTCAGTAAAAGGAGAACCAGGGTCAGTATGGTGGGAAGACCTGCTGCCCACCAAACATGCTTGTTCTCCCATGAGAGAGAAGGGAAGAGGGAGAGAAGAAGAGAAGGAGAAGGAGAAGGAGAAGGAGAAGGAGAAGGAGAAGGAGAAGGAGAAGGAGAAGGAGAAGGAGAAGGAGAAGGAGAAGGAGAAGGAGAAGGAGAAGGAGAAGGAGAAGGAGAAGATTGCCCTCCTCATTTGAGACCACGGCCTCCCTCATGCTGGGTGATGGCAGCCCTGGTTATTGAGACCAGCAGGTGTCTTTTTTTATCCTGTCTCAAACTCTTCCCATGGATCTTCAGGGGAGCAAGCCTAGTTCTTTAGCATTAGCAAGCACACACCACTCCTAGAGCAGAACTAACAGAGCTGCACATCACACGTGTCTCTCACCCTCCCCATGGAACAGGGGTGGAGGATGCAGCTACTGCTGCCTGGGCTGGGCACAGAACAGCAGAGATGCTGTGTCACAGCCAGGGTAAGAAATGTGCAGCAGGCAAAAATCATGTGCTGCTGTCAGAGCAGCAAAGATTGTATCATACAGCTTAAGGACAAGGGACACGTGGTATCTACAAACTTGTGACTTTGCATAACAA